CTATAATAATGGTGTATTATTCATATTTACATTCAGTTTCAGTCAAGGAAAAGGAGTTTCGCGAGAACTAGAGCAAATAAATTAGCTACGCTTAGAGTATCGGCACTCTCTTCCCCGACAGTGTTGTGAACACCACCATTCTGGTGCTTGTGCAGAGCAGGCGCAACTGCCGATCGTCATGGTTCAAAAGTGCGACATCCTCAGCATTAGATTCGGTGTTAGGAAGCTCATGTAATGTTGCTTTGCTTTGTCGCAGAGTGTTTAAAGTAGAGGACGGAAAAGCGTTTCTTGTGATTTCAGATAAGGCTTCAAATAACTGGCAACCATAATTTTAAGCCACAATATGGCCAACTGTCGCTACTTTGGCGCGTAGCTTATTTAATAACACTATTCGTGCTCTTGTTCAAGAGGCTTGTAATACCTGGAGGGGCCATGACGTAAGCCCCCTGGATTCCACAAGCCACTACCTTTTGACACCTGCCTCTTCCTCATTGTTCCCGCTTGTGCCAGTAAATTAGCTACGGTTCAGAGTAACGACACTTGGCCATATTGCGGCTTAAACTCATGGTTGCCAGTTACCTGAAGCTTTATCTAAAATCACAGGAAACGCTTTTCCGTCCACCACAAATGTTTTAACAACCGGCGACAGAGCATTACAATATTGCATCAGCTTCCTAGCACCGCACCTAATGCTGAGGAAGTCGTACTTTTGGATCATGACGTTCGGCGGTTGCGTTTTTTCTGAACAAGACCCAAAATGGCGGCGCCCAAAACAATTTTGGGGAACAGAGCGCCGATACTTTAAAGCTCATTTAGTGACTCTAGGCATGAAGTGAGAGAGAGAATAGATCTTTATTAAAACAAAACGTTCAAAGTGGAGATTTTAGCAGCTGCAGAACCAGCGCCGGCTACTCCAGGCCATTGATTGAAATTACAAGCAGCATATAAATTTTACAAAAAAAAAGATTATGTACATACATACATACACATACATACATATATATACATATATACACATTTATACATATATATATATATACATACACACATACACGCATACATACACGTACACGCACATACATGCATATATATATGCAATAAAATAATCATTTACATATTTACAATATCGAAAACCCGACGTCACAGTACGTCCGACCATCCCTGGTGGGAGGCACCGTCCTTGGACTAAGCAACCGTCCTCACTATGAGGAGGTATCCACCTTGTCCTCGGACCGGCAGCCTCTAGAACGGTGCCCTGTCCCTTCCAAAAATAGGCCGCAGCACAGTGACGGCATGCCAGGAGCGTACACTATATGAAATTTGTTGTTGTCAATAGTTCTCACTTAATTTTGTGTCCTCCAGATAATCTACAAGATACCCGATCACAGTTTGTTGGGTCCTTCGTGTGTTCCATGGACCAAGGAGTGTTGTGAGGGACAATGGGCGGTTATCGATAGTAGACATTCGTTCTCGAAGATGGTCTCGTTCATCTGTGTACCTTCGGCATTTGATTAGTACGTGTTCTGCGTCGTCTATTTCGTCACATGTGGTGCACAAAGGGGAGGTAACTTGTCGTATTCGATGTAGGAAGTGTTGTCCAAAAGGAACACCTAATCGAAGTCTGTGTATCAATGTTTCAGAAGCTCTTGAAATGTGTCTTGGCATCCAAAATTTTAAGTTAGGGTCAATCCGTTCGAGGTGGGAGTTTTGAGGAGCGTGTTTATAACCAGTAGCCTCGGATATTTTCCTTGATGTCCTTCTGAGCAGGTTTAATATGTCGCCTTTCGTGAAAGTAATTGCAGTCTTGGTATTTATATTGTGGGCATTTTTGGCTGCCCGATCGGCCGCTTCATTTCCTTGAATGGCACAATGTGCAGGGATCCATTGAAAATGAATTTTATGTTCAGTTTCAATAGCTCTCGAGAGGTGGAAACAAATATTAATGGCAATAGATGAACTTGTTGGTGATATGTATTTTATCATGTTCAGTGCGCTCATTGAATCCGTGTAGAGAGTCCAACTGGTAATACTTGTTTTCTGAGTAAAGTAGAGAACCGCTTGCAAAATAGCAAATAGTTCTGTGTTAGTTGAGCTTGTCTTGTGTGAAAGTAAGAAGCTTTTTTCTATATTTAAAGATGGAATTATAAATGCTGCTGTAGATGATAAATCGCTTGTTGACCCATCCGTGTAGACCGCAGTAACGTCATCCGGGGCTTCAGAAAGCATTGGAAGTGTCATTTGCTTCAGCGTGGTTTGGTTTAAAGTCGATTTTTTCACAACTCCAGGTACTGATGTAGAAATATTTGCAGAGTAAAATGTCCAAAGCGCAGCTGGAGGTTCAAATGGGAGTGCGAAGTTTGCGGGAACTATATCTGCATTAGCCATTATTACCTTATGTACACTGGAAAATGTCCTACGGCGGATAGTTGCAACGAGTGGGTGATCATGATGTCGTGTAAGAAGGCGAATGAAATGTCGGAGAGTTTCCCGTTCACGTAGAATCGGTATTGTGAGGGCGTGAGCTTCTGCAACCACCAAGGAGCTTGCTGCGGCTCTTGGTACTCCCAAGCAGATTCGGAGGCTGCGGGCTATCAGATGTTTGAGTCGCGCTTCAAGAGTCCGGGAGAGCCCACATAATGCTGGAAGTGAATACGAAAGGGACTGTGTAACGAGTGCTCCGTGGAGAGTTAAAAGTGCTTTCGAAGAGCCACCCCATCTGGTTCCAGAGCAGCAGCGTAAGATATTGATGTATGGCGTAATTTTTCTTTCTAAATATTTTACATGAGCTGTCCAAGACAGGTTCCGGTCAATGTACACCCCTAGGAAACGATGAGCCTTCACCAAAGGCAAAGGTTTCCCTCCAAGCGTGAGTTCAAGGTTATTGAGTCTTCGTCGTGTAAATGGAAGGACCGCAGATTTCTCAGTAGAAATCGACATACCTCGTTCAATGAGAAATTGTTCAATTATTAAAAGTGAAGTTTGGAGACGAGTCTGAATTGCACTGGGATTAGCATCTGATGACCAAATAGATATGTCATCAGCATACATGGAAATTGATACATTATCTGGTAATAGACCAGGAAGTTCTGTCAATACAAGGTTAAATAATGTGGGACTTAATACGCTTCCTTGAGGAACTCCTTGTGAAACATAGTGCTTTGATGTAAAACCATTGGGCGTCCGTGCGTACACCGATCGATCATGGAGGAAATCACTCATCCAGTTCACTAGGTGGTCACCTACTTCTAGTCGCTGAAGCTGTCCGATAACATGGCAGTGGCTAACAGTGTCAAATGCCCGCTGAATGTCTAGAAACACTGCTACTGTGATTTTGTGAATGCTGCGTTCGTGTTCTACACAGGTCACGAGATCGAGTACAGAATCCATAGCTGACATATTCCGCCTAAAACCGGTCATTTGGAACGGCAATATTCCACTGGAATCTAACCACCAATTTAGTCGCTGTAAGACCATATGTTCCATCGTCTTCATCAGCACGCTGGTGAGGCTCACTGGACGAAAAGATGAGATGCTTAGAGGGGATTTTCCAGGTTTTAAAACAGGCACTAAAATTGCTTCTTTCCAGGCAAGGGGTATACAACCACTAGCCCAGCATTGGTTATACATATCCAGTAAAAAGGACATTGCGTGCTTCCCAATATTCGTTAGTGCAGCCGGAGTGATACCATCTGGTCCTGGGGCACTTTTTCGCCTGAGCTTTCTCAATGCCCATTTCAGTTCACTTTTGTTAAATGGCAAATTCATGATATGGTTGTGAGCTGTTGATAGCCGCGGGGATGGGGTTTTCTGATCCGTGTTTGCTATGGCTGTAGAAACGTGTTGCGTCACTGCTCTGCAAAATTCTTCGGCTATATTCATATCGCTAACACCTCGATGAAGTGCCAGCGCGCGCAATGGTTGGCGTTGTAACACCGGCGATTTTAATGAGCGAACTATGCGCCATGCTTGTATTTTCGGGGTGTTCGGTAATATTGAATCCCAAAGACTCTTCCATCGGCGTTCTCCCAAATATTCGAGCTCGTGTTTTGTTTTCGTCTGAATTCGTCGGGCTTTCATTTGATCTTCAAGTATTCCGCTCCTTCGAGCTTTTCGTTCCGCCCGTCGGCGTTGAGCACGCAATTTCTGGTACTCAGGATCTACCCCTAGATGTCCTTGAGGGACTTTTAACGTTTGTGATGATTTCTCAAGGTTAATTTTTATCCCAGAAACGAAATCATCTAGTGTCTTCAAATTTGTCATTGAGTCAGCGTTCAGTGCACGGAACTTGGACCAGTCAGTTAAAACTGTATGTCTATGTTTCACAAATGGATGTAATTTTGTGTGACTTATATAGATAGGTAGATGATCGCTTCCCCTGGTGTCGCAGTCGGTATACCAATTGGCCTGAGCTACCAAGCCTGCAGAGCAGATGGTCAAGTCTAAACAACTAGTGTATCCGTCTCCTTTAAGGAATGTCTGAGATCCGTCGTTTAGAACGCAAAGGTTGTTTGAAATGAGTATTGAGTCTAACATTGATCCTCTCTTTGATGTATGAGAGCTGCCCCAGGTTGGACTATGTGCATTGAAGTCTCCACACAGTATGTAAGGTGCATCCAAAGAAGCAATGAGATCTTCTAGGCGTTGTAAGTCTGTTGGGCTTCCTGGTGGTATATATACGCAAACAATATTAAGTACCAGGCCACGAATGCGTACCTTACAAGCAACAAATTCTCCAGAACTATCAATGTCACTTACAATTTCTACTGATGAAAGATCGGATCTTATACCTAACATTACTCTTGAGGAACGGAGCTGAGCGTTTGAGGGATATAGCACGTAATCAGGCAGGCGAAATTGTTCGGATACGTGGCCTTCACAGATAGCTAAAACCGAGAATTTGTAGCGACTGACAAAATCCTTGAAATCGCTGCGTTTTGGCATTAGGTGACGTGCATTCCATTGTAATAAAAAGGAAGTGGCGTATACCTCAGTTAGATGAGTCATTGAATGCCGTTGAGAAGTGACTCCATGGCCAACAGAGCTTTGATGGATGATTTGGAACCGATTTTCGGGTATTCTTTGATGATTTCTTTTATGACTTCCATCATGAGAGGTAGGAACATGTGAAGGATGCCTTTTGCACTGCTTTCTTGATCTGGATGGGCAGACTCAATGTGATGCGCGGTTCTAGAACTAGTGCGGCGTCGATTATCCAGATGGGAAGGTACTTCCTCTTCGGTATCTGCAGTTGCTTTTGGGTTTGGTGGTATGACGTGGGAACTTCCTTGTCTTGTCTTGTTTTCTGTTAGTGTTGTGTTGCTGCCGCTTGGAATTCCTTGCAGAACGTCGGAAAAGGTAGGCCGTGATGTTTGATTTTGCGTGGTCATTTTGTCACTTGCCTTAATAACATCCGGATTAGGAGCTGGAGCTTTCCGTGGAGTAGGTTTGCCATAAAAAAGCTCATTTTTCTTAGCAGCATGCGCCGCCTGTTTTCGTATACAGCCTGCATAGGTTGATACATGGCGCGAGCCGCAGTTTGCGCATTGCGGTTCACGTGGTGTCGGGCATTCTTTGTGGTGATGAGGACCTGCGCAGATCTTGCAGCGACGGGAGCTGCGGCAGTCGCGAGCCAGGTGGCCATATCGTTGGCAGTTGTAACATTGAGTTGGTGCCTCGCAGTGTTCTTGCACGGGGAAGCTGTGGAATCCTAGTTTGATTCGTGCAGGTAGTTGTAGGTCTTCACGAAATTTAAGGATTACTGTTGTCAGTGGATGTTTTGTTACGGGACCATCTTCCCGTCGAGTGTACTTCATTTGTCGTTGTGCAGAAATGACTCCGTCGTCTCGTAGGTATTCACCGAGTTGATCATCACTGTAGTCAAGTGGCACACCCCAGATTTTCCCCAGATTTTTCGAGTACGACTGTGGTACAACGACATCCACCTTGATTCCCGCGAGGGCGTTTAGTTTTAGCAAATTATTCGCTGCTTCGGCGGACGCCACAGTGACAGTTAGTCCTCCATTTTTGTCAATTCGTTGAGACAGGACTTTCTCTTGGGATGTTGCGACGATTTCTTGCGCCAACTTATTAGGGTTGACCTTCCAGAACGACTGGGATGGATCATTGAGTTTGAACAACACCGGAATGCCAGCCTTGCGAGTCTTCTTGTAAATCACCTCAGTGAAAGGTGTCTCCTCATCGGTGATGGACTGCTGATGTTCCATAGTTTGAGCAGGTGGCTCTTGATATTCATCAGCGCGCCGTTTTCTCGGAGGTATGGCACTTGTTTGGGCAAGGCTTGAACCCGAGTCATGGGATACTGCGGTTGGTATTACCACAGGTTGGGAGGTGCGTAGAATTGTTGAGGAGGCATGTTCGTGCGGTACAGTGCCAGCGGGGCTGATGACAGATGTCATCGCCACAGCGGCCGGTAGTGGTATACCGATTAACTGTCACTAATGGGTATAAATGCTGAAAAGCTTGCCGAATGGTAGAAAGAACAGGTTGCTTCGATCGCACTTTTTTTTCTCCCGCATGAAGTGAACTCGGGTGTATTATTTTCCTCTTCGTCTTTATTGTTTATTGATTTCAATCATATCGAATAATGAACACATTATATCACGCTACGTGTGTGTAATTATTTGTCTTAGATTTATTTACCTGACCCAGTACTTAAACCATTCATTTATCGATAGTAAATCTTCCAATATATTTTTTAAATGTGAAGGTAAAAAGACACGGAGATTTATGATGATACAGACGCCAACGCCGCCCTCGGAAATTTTTCGAACGCTAGAAATCAGCAGTTTGTCTGCCATCCGCCAGGTAGCGCAACAAAACACCCAAACAGGTTTTAATTTTTTTTTAATTAGCTAAGCTCTACACCTATTAAGAGACCAAAGCAAGATCATTGTGAAAATGTAATACATCGCAATGTATATCTATTCCAACCAATAAATGTTATTAGATGCCAATAAATCTGTTGGATGTCCAAAAAAGATATGCGTCAAAAACAGGTAAGTTTGAAGGGCTCCTGGAGCGTTATGACTTTGAAAACGAAAAAAAGCCATCGTCCACCTCTTGGGCAACCATTGTAGCTCTAAATGTTATAAAATATTTTATCATAGTTTAATTATTTCTTCAGCGGCATTTGAAGTACCATGACTCAAAGCACAAAAAAGTGCTACGTTGGATATAACATATCTAAACAAAAAAAAAAAATTACACAACATTAAAGTTTTTTGTGCATATTACCAATTATAAGCACTACATCTGTAGCTAATTTCATTTCCCTAGCGCTTGTCATTAAAAACATATTTGTGCTGAAAAATGTCAATTTTAGGGCGATATTTGGAGGGATGAAAAAAACAAAGTAGTGCAAATACCAAAAAAGTGTATCGTTACATTCTGCTCCAACATCATCTTAACAAAACTGCTATATTGGAACCGTGCTACCTTTAAAGGATCGTTCATAAAACATGAACTAGCGGAGCAAGTGAGGGTCCGCGCCATCATATTCGCAACGCTACAAACGCGCATGAACAGTAAAAACCAACATACATAATATCAAATGAAAGAGGATTGCATTGCCTTTCGAATGACATCAGTCCCACAAAACAGTATTTAAAAGGAGACGAGTAATCTGCCAAAAAGTACCTAAACTGCCACATTCAGTGGGACCGTGGCCTTAAGATTGTTTACGTGTGGGGATGCCAAAGCATCACTAGGCACACCTTCAGTCAGTCAGAAGCGTGGAGCCGCCGTGGCGTCAGATTCGACTTCCGGCCACCGAGGTGAACGGATGTGCGACGACGGGGCGGCAGCGACGGCCACGCTTGGCCGCGGTATCTTTGTTTCTGAAGCGCCATCTGATTGTAAGATTTTCTTACCTCCCCTGCCAACAGGATACTTCGCGAGCAATGCAGTATTACCGCTCATTCACACTGGAAGCGGATCCGCGTTCGCAAAGCGGTTGCGGACGCGGTTGTATAAAGATCCAGTGCAATTGCACGTGCACTCGATGACATCAAGTGCGCGTGCAATCGTACTGGATCTTTATACAACCGCGTTCGCAACCGCTCTGCGCACGCAGATCCGCTTCCAGTGTGAATGAGCGGTTACTGCACTGTGACGGAAAAGACCTTCCGTATCGCATCTAAGACTTTAAAAAGGAGATGGAAAGACAAAAATGAGTTGCTGGGCGAGTTGGTTAGACATTTTGACCTAAACAGCGCAAATAAGGTAAGGAACACACAACAAGATGGAAGAGCGCTGACTCACAACTGGGGTTGTAATGAAGAGCTAGTAAAAGAGAAGAAAGATGTCAAGTGCGGTAACATTAATAAAGTAAGGAAGGGAGAGGAGGTACATTTTCATTTCAAAACGTCGGTATCTAGGCCGACTGACCAACGAAAGAAAATACGCGATTACAGTAGAGCGAATTTTGATCAGATCAACAATGATCTTGCGGTTTTCTTTGACCAGTATTTGACAGACTTTTCGGGGCGCTCGGTTGACGAAAACTGGAATTTGTATAAAGATAAGGTAATCTTCTTTATCAACAAATACGTGCCGCTCCGAAATATACTTGAAAATAATCAGTCACCTTGGTTCACGAAAGCCCTGAAGAGACTGTCAAATAAAAAAAAGCGCTTGTACCGTGCGGCCAAGTTTTCCCAGTGTGAGCGTCGCTGGGCCGCATATCACAATTCTGTAGAAGTGTACATAAAAGCGATTGAAGGCGCTAAATCTCACTTTTTCACACATAGTCTTCCAGACATGTTGGTAAATAACCCCATTAAATTTTGGAATACTGTTAACAAAAAGGACCGTTTTTCAATTTCTCTTACAACTTCTAGTGGTGACAGCGTGCCCAGTGACGAATGTGCTAATGTCTTAAATAGTATATTTATGGAATCTTTCTCCGATATTCGCAACATAACTTACCCTTCGATGAGCTGTTCCTGTTATCTGCCAATGGATTCTATCTTTGTTGATCCTGCTGGTATTGCAAAAATTATAGATGAACTGAAGTTATCATCCTCATCAGGAGTGGACGGAATTAATTCCAAGTTTTAAAAAAACACTAAACTATACTCATCTCTTATTCTCTCAAAATTGTTTGAATAGTCGCTTCAAGATGGTATTTTACCTTGTGATTTGGCGAGTGGGGAAGGTGGTTCCAATTCCGAAAGGTGGCGATGAGTATTCCCCTAACAATTATCCTCCCATTTCATTATCCAGCATACCATGTAAACTTCTGGAACACGTTATCTTTTCCCAACTCGTACATTTCCTAGAGTCGAATAATTTTTTCACCTAAGCACAGCACGTATTTCGTAAATCATTATCTTGTGATACTCAGCTCCTATCCTTCACTCATGACATTCATTCTATTCTTGACCGAGGCTCCCAGGTGGACTGCATTTTCTTAGATTTCGCCAAGGCATTCGATAAGGTGTGTCACGAGCTATTGCTGTTAAAACTTTCAAAACTTAACATTGACCCTAACGTTCTCGCATGGATTCGGTCTTTTCTAAATAACCGTTCACAATTTGTAACAATTAACAACGAAAATTTTCCTCCTGTGTCTGTGAATTCTGGAGTTCCTCTAGGGTCGGTTTTAGGCCCACTACTATTTTTAATCTATATTAACGATCTTCCCATTAATGTGTCTTCATCCGTTTGTCTCTTTGCCGATGACTGTGTAATTTACCGTGAAATCTGTCACGATTCTGACCTGTCTACACTTCAGTCTGATATTAACTCTGTCTCTCGTTGGTGTGAATTAGGGCTAATGAAACTAAACACTAGTAAATGTAAACAGATGAGAGTGTCCCGCAAGCCTAACAACAGTCCCTGTTACCACCTAGATGGCAACCTCTTGGAGCAAGTGGCAACGTACAAGTACCTTGGTGTTCACTTAACAAATAACCTTTCATGGAAACCCCACATTCAGTATGTTACTACCCGTGCTAACTGCATGTTGGGCTACTTAAAACGCAACTTTTCATTGGCACCTATTTCACTAAAATTGATGCTCTACAAAACATTAATCAGGCCTAAATTAGAATATGCAGCCTCCATCTGGGATCCCGGTCACGATACTCTAATCGCTGCATTGGAATCCATTCAGAATAGGTCAGCCCGTTTCATTCTTTCCAACTACCATCGTACTGCTAGTGTCACATCAATGAAAAATAGTTTATGTTTACCACTTCTCTCCTTGCGACGTAAAATTTCACGCCTATGTCTATTTCATAAAATGTATTTTCATAACCCTCTCCTACGCAATCGGATGATTACTCCCCCCTTTTACATTTCATCCCGTCTTGACCATCAGCATAAAGTTGGAGTTCCAAGTTCGTTTACCACAACATTTCAATCTTCTTTTTTACCCCGCACAGCCGAGGAATGGAACCACCTCCCCGGTTTGATTGCTACTATAACTGATACTAACTTGTTTAGAAATTCCATCACTAGCTATTTTAGCAGTGACCCATGACCTATTATTATTATTATTATTCTTTGTTTGTTGTATATTTAATATTGTTGACTTGTTACTATATTACTATCTTTGTTTCATGTATGTGCTCTCCCCCTCTGTAATGCCTTCGGGCCCTGAGGGTACTTTCAATAAATAAATAAATAAATAGTTACACATATTAACCTTTCTTTTAGAGTCATTCTAAAGGATTGATAATTTACGTTATTCACCAATAGACCCTTCCCGAAACTCAGTGACATCTGGTGACTATAATGGCAGTTTAACTTTTGCCGTAGTAATGGCGGCAATGAAAATGGAGTATGCCGTATTTTATCGGGTACCGTCACTTTGGCTAGTCAACGGCAAACGACAGTGTGCGCTTCACAGTACGTTTCCCTCTCTATTTCTTTCAGTGACAACAGAAACAAAGATGCAACCACTCAGAACGAGGCGTCAACCTACGTACAGGGCTTGATAAAGTTCTACAAATCAAGGGACCTTGGAGCACCTTGATGCTACCAACAGACTGGCTCGGCCCGAGCTAGAAATGAACGCTTACGCAAATTTTGCTTTCAATTCCTGCTTCGCATGGTGCTAACGTCACGGATGTATAAGCCTCGAATTATCTGCTAAGGAGCATCTTCAACTTCTTTTTTTATCAGTAAACAGAAGGCCGCGATTAGTACGGCACATATGCCATTTTTTCGATGATGATGGTGATCAAAGTGGCCAGACTGAATATCGGAAAGGGTCTACAAATATTCACGTGTGAACGACAAATTTGACGGTGACCTAAAGGCAACGTTACTGGAGCAAGCTCAGTTTCGCA